GAGCGGTACAGCCCCGCTGGGGCTCAGCCAAGCCTTGTCCCTGGCCCAGGGCTCCAGAGCCCTTGGCCGTTCCCTCCGTGCCGAGGTCCCTGCCTGCCCCTCGTCCCTGCCCGGGAGGCAGGGAGAGCAGATTGCCAGCCCCTTCTCCAAGCCCCTGCGGCACCTGAGGTGAGCAGCAGCGCTCTGCACGGCGCCGGCACTGCAGGGACTGCACCGCCAGCAGCAAACGGGCACCAGGCAGCCCTTTCCTGAGCCCCCCAACACCCTGGTCTCTGCACCCCTCGTGAGCGGAGCACGCCAGGGTGCTGCCCGCAGGGACGTCCTCCCTGTACCTTGCCCTGGCTGAGGGGAAGTTCAATACGTGCCCTGCAAAGGGTGGCTCTGGGCTTGTTTTCACACCGAGCTGCCGCCTGCCCTCATGCTGCCCCTCCCTGTGGCTTGGCCAGGTCTGTCTGACATGCCTCCCTATTCCCTGGGTCCTGCCTAACCTGCCTGGTCTCTGCCCGCCTGCAGGTGTTGCCTGGTTGTTGGCCGCCTTTGCTGCCCTCTTTCCACATCACCGTGGTGGGGAGGTGGCAGCTGGTGCACAGCTGTTTGTGCACTGCCTGCCTTCCGCTGTGTGGGAAATGGAGCTGGTGGTCCTAAATGTGCTCTGGCTGATGGCCACCAGTTTTTGATCTGGGACAGAATGTCAGCTCTGAGCTCGATAACTTGTGCGGCCTTAATAGCCCTAAGGGTCCGTCCGTGTTTTGGAGTCCCCGAGTAGCCCACTGTCCCCCAGCAGTAGCTGCCAGATGTCCCCCGGCTCCTGCCGTAGCTGCTGCCCTGCAGAGAAGCAGCAGGGGGGTGGCAGGCATCACAGGGACCCGTCTGTTGTTCCTTCCCTCAGTGCCTACTGCTTCCCCACCGTGCTCAGAGGCTGCTCTTGAGGCCTGAGGTTCTGCTGGCTCCGGGGCTCTGAGCTGCCCTCGCCTCCTTCCTTGCTCATGTTGTTCTCCGTGCAGGTGCTGAAGGGACACGATGACCATGTCATTACCTGCCTGCAGTTCTGTGGCAACCGGATAGTCAGTGGCTCGGATGACAACACGCTCAAAGTGTGGTCAGCTGTCACTGGGGAGGTGAGCTGTTGTCCGTGGTCGCGTCATAGGGCTGCTCCGCTGGCACGTGAGAGTCACGCTGATCCTCTGCCTTGCTGCAGGATGGGTGGAGGTGTGAGAGGCATAGTGGCCTTTTAGGTGGGTTTATCTTGTCTCTGGCAAAGTGTAGCTGGGGAGAAGATTTGATAGATCCTGCGGCTGCAGGAGCAGTGGGAAGAGCGGTCTTAAGCTCCAAGTCTGTTGGTGCAGTAGCAAGTGAGCAAGAGTTGGCCACACAGGTGTTTTCACTGGTGGTCAGTAAGTGTGGACCACCCTCCTGGAGATCCAGGAAGGGCAAGGAACTCGACTGGATTTAGAATAGCAAGTGATCATTGTCACGGAGAGGACGCTGTGGTGGGGGCCTGAGTCTGTCTGCAGGGAGGTGGATTGCTGACCCGAGAAGCCTTACCGATCCCTTGCCTGGAGGAAGCCCTATGCTTTGCTTTTCCTTTTTGCTGTGGTGTTCAGTCTTTCCCAAACCAGTGTCTCACATAGAATCATAGAATGGTTTGGGTTGGAAGGACCTTAAAGATCATCTGGTTCCCACCCCCTGCCATGGGCAGGGACACCTTCCACCAGACCAGGTTGCTCAAAGCCCCATCCAGCCCAACCCTGAACATCTTGTTCTTTGCAGTGTGTGCAGACACTGGTTGGCCACACAGGGGGTGTGTGGTCTTCCCAGATGAGGGACAGCATCGTCATCAGCGGCTCCACGGACCGGACACTCAAAGTGTGGAATGCAGACACAGGCGAATGCGTGCACACGCTGTATGGGCACACGTCCACAGTGCGCTGCATGCACTTGCATGGGAACAGGTACGGGCGTGATGGTGTTCAGGGCCTGGTCTGGAATGGGGCAGGTGGGGGTGTAGAAGCACTAGGGGCCTGGGCCAGTCTGTGGGGTGGGATACAGGGCAGGCGAAAGCGCAGAGGTGGTCAGGGTTTGGGCTGAAAGATGCTGTGTGGGAAGAGGTATCCCTGGGGAGGAGAAGCTGGGGCTACTCCTCGGGGAAGCTCATGTGTCCGAGGTTATCCCAGCTGGGCAAGGTCCAGAGTCAGCAGTCGGGCTCCAAGTGCACCCTTGCCCACAGGGTTGTGAGTGGCTCGCGGGACGCCACTCTGCGCCTCTGGGACATCGAGACTGGGCAATGCCTGCACGTGCTGATGGGGCACGTGGCTGCCGTGCGCTGTGTGCAGTATGACGGGCACAAGGTGGTGAGCGGTGCGTACGACTACACGGTGAAAGTGTGGGACCCCGAGAGCGAGAGCTGCACTCACACACTGCAGGGACACACGAACCGCGTCTACTCCTTGCAGGTAATACCCTGGCTCCCCCTCCCGCTCATGTGCTGCAGGGACATGAGCCATGCCTGTTTCGGCAAGTAAGAGGCTGTCTCTCCACCCCGTGCATGTGCTGCAGGGACACACAGGCCATGTCTGTTCCCTGCAGGTGAGACACTCTGCCCCTCCACCCTGACCCCCACACACGCATGCACTGCGGGAACACACACCCCGTCTCTGTTTCCTGGAGGGAAGACACTGCCAAACACTCATGCACCCCGATTAGCCAAAGGGTACGTGAGCACATCGCTTAATCTGCCGTGCCCCGAGCCTCTGACACCAGACTGCGAAGAACACTCCTCCCTTTCTGGGCAGGCCGTGCTGATCTGTGTCTCTCTGGGCAGTTTGACGGGACACACATCGTGAGCGGCTCTCTGGACACGTCAATTCGAGTGTGGGATGTAGAGAGTGGAAACTGCCTACACACCCTCATGGGGCACCAGTCGCTCACGAGCGGCATGGAGTTACGTGACAACATCCTTGTATCGGGCAATGCTGACTCCACAGTCAAGATCTGGGACATCAAGACGGGCCAGTGCCTGCAGACACTGCAGGGTGAGTGCAGGCGGATGGAACAGCTCCCCGCACCAGGGGTGTTGGAGAGGGGTCGCGTTGCTCCTCGCTGCCAGACGCGGCAGGGGCAGGGCAGATGTTGCCCAGCAGCGGGTGCTTCTGAAGAGCCTGGGGTTGGGAGCACAGGAGGACTAACAGAACCCTCTGCTTCCAGGGCCCAGCAAGCACCAGAGTGCCGTGACCTGCCTACAGTTCAGCTCCAAGTTCGTGGTGACCAGCTCAGATGATGGTACCGTCAAGCTCTGGGACCTCAAGACGGGCGAGTTTGTGCGCAACCTGGTTGCACTGGAGAGCGGGGGCAGCGGGGGCGTAGTGTGGCGCATCCGCGCCTCCAACACCAAGCTCGTGTGTGCGGTGGGCAGCCGCAATGGCACAGAGGAGACCAAGCTGCTGGTGCTGGACTTTGATGTGGACCTGAAATGAACCTGGCCAGTCCAGGCTGGGATGGAGGATCCCGCGGGCTGGGTGTAGCAGCTGGTCTTGGTGGGGCTGGCCCCAGAGCGGCTGCTGGTCCCCTGCGGGCTGTAAATACTGTTTGCAGCTGTCTGGGCCTTATTTATATATGTGTGAACTCCCTGTGGGGAGCCTGCGCCCGGCTAGGGCACTGTACAGAGGAAGCAGCATGTTTTGTACACACTAATATATCGATTTATTTCTGTACCTGGGGCCTTCTTCTCCACCCCTGCTGTTCCCTGGGCCCGCCCTTCCTGGAGTTTGTCTCTACTGGGGGAGCAGCTGGTGGCTGCAGCCCATCCCGTTTGATTCCAGGCAGAAGCAGGGAGGGTACAGGCTTTCCTTAGAGCCGCTGACCTCGGAGACGAGCTCTGTCTTCCTGCACACACGTGCCCTTGACTGGTGGAGTACCCTCTGCCTGGAGACCCGTAGTCTGTGGACTCCAGCTTCTTTATTTTGGGCACGGTAGCGGGCTGGCAATGTGCACGAGGTGCTGAGCACGCAGCATTGGGGAGATTTTGCAGGGCAATACGATAGGTAGCACAGCCTGATAGCTAGCCAGCTCACGAAGCTGTCCTAGGAAGAGGTAGCCCCAATATTGTGCCTGAGAGGGAGCAGTGCTGTGAGCAGATACCGTTTTTTCTTCTGCGCTGCTCTGATCCAGCCAGAGGCGAGCAGGCAGGGCTGGGCAGAGCGAGAGGTGGTGCAGCAGGCAGCAACCGGCTGGGCAGCACCTGGAAGCGGACTGGAGGGAGACGAGACAGGGCCTGAGCTCTGCTGCAGCGGGAGGTGTGGCCGTGGTGGGGAGGGTAGCGCTGCCTGCTGGTGCCGGCCCAGCTCTTGTGATCTGCCAGGGCTGCCTGCTGGGGCAGCGCCAGCGGGAGGTGGCATGGGTGCTGGAAGGCAGAGAGGTGGGAAGGCAGCCCGGGCTCCCCTGCCATCGCACCCAGGTAGGCGCACAGCAGCTGGAGCGTTTCCAGCCGCTTCCCTGGGACGCGCGGCCCTACGGCGTACAGCGCAGCCACAGCCGTGGCAGGCATCCTTGCTCCTTGCTGCAGTGCTCGCAGAGCAGCAGGGTGACCGGCAGGCCCCCCTCCCTTCAGGCCGTCTTGCAGACAGCTGAGGACCTTTTCCACTTGGTGCAGTGGAGCCGGGAAACCTGCGCGTTCCTCCAGCAAGCTGATGCGAGGGTCGGGGCTTGGGCCAAGATTGTCCATGTGGGAGATGGCTTCTGCCTCCTGTCCTTGTGTCTGTAGGTCCTGCTGCAGCCCCGATAGCAGCGCAAGGCTGCGTTTGGCTAGAAGCCTCGGGGCTGCTTGCTGGCTGACCAGGGGCCGGCCGGGCTGCCAGGCGTGCTGGGAATGGAGGAGATGGGAGAGTGTGGTGCAGCTCTGGGCTGCCAGTGGCTCTTCCTGCAAGCCCTGGGCCGCTCTGGAGGAGGGCAGCTCTGCTGGGCTGCGGAGCTGCTGGATGCACATCTGGACCTCTGAAGCCACCTCATCCTCGGGCAGACCCGAGGATGACCACAGGCAGGGCCTGTGTCTTCCCTCCAGCCTGCGGAGATGGCTCGCTGTCGCTGCCGTGAAGGGCCGTTGGCGTGGATGTTTTCCCAGCCTTCCCGTTGCCCAGGTACACGTGCTGCCCAGCTTCCCTAGGTCGGTGTTTGTTCTTGCCCATGTGGAGGCAGCCCTGGAGAGGGACAAGGAGGCTGCGGGATTCAGAGAGGAGCTGGACTGCAGTGTCCAGGCACTGCTGATCCAGGCTCTGCGCAGCTGCTGCATCTCCGTCCAGGACACGGCCTCCATAAAGAACGGACCCCGAGAGAAGAAGAGACTGTCATCAACCCGACTGGTTTGTAGCATCCTGGGCCCGGTCTTCCCAGCCCCTGAAGGCACAGCTTGCACTGTGCTGCTGCGCGATGGCGGAGCTGGGAGAGCAGC